TTATATGGCTACTAAAAAATAGTTTTTGTACTTTGATGAACATCCCTTTGTCTGAATAAACGAAGGAAACGTGTGTAAGCTACACACTAGTGGTGCACGGGGACAGCGCCCAGCAGTAGGATCAGCACCTTGGAGAGCTCACTCCTACGAAATCATACAAGGCTCATTGAATTTACATGTGCAGTAGTCTATATATTCAGTTAACAATGGTATCTGATGAGTGCATTAAGTGAAATGCTTTTGTTTTAATACCCCGGGATCCGTGGTGAAACATAATTCTGCATTCTTGTAGATTGTTCATTCATTCAGAGCAGGTGATTCCTGAAAGATCTTTTCAAAGTTGTTCAACAGTTGTACAAAAACAATGACCAGTCGATGTAGTTGTAAAGCTGCTATCAGCCTTTTTGTTTTAAGCTAGGCTACATGCCTTTTTTACACCAACTATTATTTGTGTGATATTTCTGAAAAACGGCTGAGATAAAAAATCGTGGGATTATCAGGGATAATACAAGTAATGGATGTACCACTATGGGTATGATGCCTTAGATGATGACCTTTTTCGAAATATTTGTTTTTGCTCTATGTATACATTTACATCTGTGTTTTATTTCCTTTTCCCGCCTGCACCACAAGTAATATTCAGGGAGAGACTTGGGAGGGTGAACCTGCTGCTTCTAATGTGACCATCCATCACCTGCTTGAATCCCAATCATCATAAATCATAAGGCCACAGATAAGCATGCGTGTGTGTGTTACATAAACATGCGCACACAGTGAGACGTGTCCTCAGTTTGCTCCCAGCCACAACACGATAGATCAGATTTCCTTTGGGAGATCTCGGAGCTCTACCTGTTTAGTCTTGTATGACGCATACACATACACAAAATTGCTCTCTGTTTAACTTCAAACGATTCTCTTTTTTAGATTAGCTTACTCTTACTGGCCTTCTTAAATATATGCCCCCTCCTTTTGAAATGTATTTTGTTTCATTTGAGACGGGGATACTGTAGTGTGAAAGCACTTAAGCTCAGTTATGGTTATTTATTTTACTCTCAAATACAGTGGTGACTCAACACACTGACATAATACAATATCAAAAATTAATTTGTGTTTCACAGAATCATGCTAAATGTTTTGCGCAGTATATGTAAATCAACCCCCATGTTCATGCTTTGTTCAGGCTGGACTTGACCAGCGGCAATAGGGTACAGTGAGTGATTACGTGCAAGTTGTAATATTGCTTGTGTCTCATTATGTCCATACACTTTTCTTACCATATGTTTTCCTTAATTGGTGTCTTGAAGAATGCTTTTGGTGATTCATTATACAGGTACAGTTATGTTCTTAGCCTGTTAATCTGGCCACATATTATCTAAACAGAAATGGGCATGCATTGCACAAATATGGTGGGTTATTCTATTTGTATTAATTTGTTGACTTGACATCTCCTCCCAGATGTTTGTAAAAATAACAACTAGATACAAAAAAGACCATTGAATTTTTCCATTATACAAGTTGTGTACCATTCATGTTTTATGATTCTGATAGACTGGCATGCTGTGGCAGTGCTGCAATCCCAATTAGAATTGTGTCAGACCATTGATCTACCTTTTATTTCCACTCAAAGCTGTCTTGTTATCAAATAGACAATCCCAATTACTCCAAACCAACTTCCACAGACACCTTTGTTCACAGTGGCCCATCCGCCCGTATGTTCTTTTACTGGCAGAGATACATCAGATAAGAGTGAACCAATACTGCGACTGGTAAAGACAGATCGATGGTATAGTTGTATACAGGGGAACAAGGGGATCATGAATCGTCACACCGACATAAAGGCAAAGAAGTGATGAATAGAACAGGCTATTGAATGGCATTGTGAAACTTTGAGAGTGGGTGGTAGAGGCCTACGTCTGCTACTTCCAGCTGCCCTTAATCACAGCAAACTAATTACCCCATGTTTCTAGCACGCTAATACGCTTCCTAATTAGAAGCACATGAAGCCGTAGAGGGCATGTTTGGAAATTGGCACCTGTGTTCTTTGAAAGACCAAAACCTGGGAGTGTTTGTTTTCCTTTTAAGGCATCCATAGAAAAGGAATCGCATTTACATTTATACACCCTTTTAGGATTGATATTGTTTCTTTGTTGTGTAGCACGGTGCACTAGCCAGAAAAGGTTAGTTTTCATTTGTCACTCAACAAATACCTGTTTTTATTGGAGATTAAAAGGTTGATATATTTTTAGCACATATTTTTTGTTACCACAAACCGAAAAAGGTGGTTTCCTGGTAAATAATTTATCACTTTCATTTACTGTAAACAAGGTTATTTTGGTGTTAAGCATCTTGTACGTCTCCAAAGTTAAACATTTTATTGATTATAAATAATGAAGCATGCAAAACATCTAGATATCCAAATTCTATATTCATAAGGGACCTTTCTATATTATACATTTTTTCACAGTCTAGTTTTTAGTATAGTTTCTAGTTTTTGTCCTTGGTTCACTTTATTTTTATATGATTTAGAGGACACAGTAGTGAAAAGAATAAATAGAACAAACAACAACATGGTCAAATCCATATAAATGTCGTTTATGAGGTAGCAGATATAAAATGGCCGCATTGTCTACCCACGTCAGTCTGGTATTGAATTAGTAGGCGTTCTTACTGATGATAAAACAAACTAAAGGCGGGTCTCCCTCGGGTTGTTATTGCGGGGTCTGGGATCCACAGAGGACAGAGGCAGTTTAATCATGCGGAAAATAAATTCTCTGTCTCTAAAACTTATTCTGAGTCCTCCTCAAATGCTCAGGATGCTACTGGCGTGTCTCAGAGGCAGAGCAGACTACTTGTGGCTCGGTAACACAAGTTCTCCAACATCTTGAACGGTGTAAATAACCAAAGGCTACACTTCTACCACGCGCTGCCATGCTACATCGTCGGGAAGGAAGGACCCCTGATCATAAGGTCTGCCAAGTACACCCTGGGCCCTTGCCAGCTTTTCGTAACTCCCACTTTTGCTATAACCGAGGTAACTACCTTCTCCTTACTGCAGCATTCTTTTAAAGGCTGCCACAGGGAGACAATCGCACCTTCAGACACATTAAAAATGCTGCTCTGTTGTGAAAGGTCACACGTGTAGTCCAGATCCCTCAGATATCAATGCCAGAGAACAGGCAGCAAAACCGCCTCGGAGTGTGCAAGAGGGTCAAAACTAAGAAAACCTCCTTGTGGCTGTGCAGCAGATTCCTTGTCGCCGTGGGCGAGGCGCGCGGTCGGTCTTGACTGCTGTGAGGGTTGCTGGAGTTTGGGGACAGACATATCCACAGTCCTCCATGTGCTTTCATGCAAAGGGATGTGAAAGAAAAGTGCTCTCTTCAACAAATGGCCGAAAGCCATCAAAAGCATTCTGGCTGTGTGCAAGTTTAAAGAGTCACACGCACTCAAGGGAATCCCGGTGCTCCTCATTAACAGAACACTGCTGAAGCATAATGTTTTTTGCAAATAATATTTTTGTACATAGAGCACACATTTGAGTGGGGCGCCAATAACAGCAAGATATATTATGACAACAATCTACAGAAAAGAAGACATTAAAAGAAATTATTGCTCATGTAGTTGTGGGCTTTTACCATAAAGAAAGCACAATGAGGCGACCCTGAAGCCATTATCTTACAAGCAATGCATTCCTGCTCAAAAAGGGGTGGGAGGAACGCTGCCTGAATTCAGACACCAGAGATGTAATGGCAAATTGCTGTCAATTTGCTGCGATGTCACTGCGTTTGACTATCACCGAGTTGATTCACATCCACAATGCGCTGTGGCATTGCGTCAGTGTTCACAACGCAGCCTGCGAGATGTTTTCTGTTTTATTATCTAAAGGATGACAATTTGTGCAGCAAGCTGCCTTTGATTCACTCACATCCACCTGAGATGGAGATAAAGAGTTGAGTGAAGGGCTTATCAGCCTGTTTGATAACTTTTAAATAAAAGCCGTGCTCAGGGCATACTCGTCTGAAACCCCGGGTCACAGAGATCTGCTTCGCACAGACAGCAATCTTGGCTCGAGCAGCAAAGCGTTGAGCAGGGATCCTTTTTGGAACAGATTCCGGAGGCTTTAGAAATTGCTTAGCCTGGCAGAACTCGGAGCACTTGTGTTGATAAAGGAATGTGGATTTACCTGTTGCTGGACTCTTTCAAAAGGTTAAGTTGTTAAGTGGAGGGTTTTCGCAGCGAAGCTGCCTAGAGGCAAACTTGTATATGCAAGCATTCTACATCATCTAGTGCAAAGATCAATCCGAGGCTCAAGGCGAAAGTTCTCACATCATTTGCAATAACCTTTTCAAGAAATTTCAGTTGTTGACCTGTGGGAAGGTGCTCACATTTAAATCTCCCAAATGATTCATTGTCATGATTTCTAATGTACTATTTCTAGTGACAGTAAAGAGCATGTTTATACCCAGTGAATTCATTCCACTGACTGTGGAAATGTCAGGTAACCTCTCTTTACAGCCCTTATGTAATTAACTTGCACAAACTGATATAAGTACATCTGCTATTCTCATTCTTCGACGGGAGGATAATTAGAATATCTACTGTTGCTAACAACCTGACGTAATGTGTAACATTTTTAGTCAAGCAGGTTCAATTGAGCCGCTTTTCTTTATTTAACTATTTCATCCCAAGTAATAATGTTCAACACAGATACTTGAACGTGTTCGCTGTGTTGAGCTTTCATTTAATCTCTCTATAAGACATTAGGGAGTTTTTTCCACCTCAGCCTTCTAAGCTATCTAAATACATGAGATTTCATCATCTGTTTAATTGCTTAACCTAATTTGCTTTGCTGGCTCTGTCACAGCCCCATTGTGTCGTTATCAAATCACTGGACACTGCAATTAACTTCACAATGTGAGCACCACCTTTGTTATTGGCACAGAGCAGCTGTTAAATGGGTTTAACTGTATTATCTCTTTTTTTCTTTGCTTCTTTCCCTGCAGAATGAGTACACGTGCCCACGCCCCCTACCTGGTGCCTGGCTGGGAGACATGCCTACCATCCATTAATCCCTAAAAGGGGACTGCTTTGGATTTGGTGCAGCAAAATACACAGATGCAAGGAGAGACATTACGCAGAGAACCCATCAACCCCATTCAAGGATACATTTAAAAAAGGTCCTCTATGCTAAGGGCCTCCACTGACTAAGACAAACAGGGGACAATGCAGTCGTTTTGTTTTTCTTAAGATTTTATAATGTCTTCTTTTACTACCTGTGCTCTTTGGTCATATCTGCTTTGCTGCATTAACTCCCGCTTCACAAAAACACTGACCGGACGGTTGTGAACGAGCATTCCTGTGGTGGACAGCAGAGGCTTGGCAGAAGACTCTGGGGCACTACTGGAGGGTTATAACATTGGAGCTTATTGTATGGACGCTAATAGCTTATTGTCTCCACAAGGACAATGAGGCGTTGTGTTAATGAGAGGCATGAATCTGTTCAAGAGGCTTTAAACTGAGCAATGAATCACGTATGAAAATGCACTGAAGAGGTGGCTCTGACTGCTCCGCTAACACAGCTTTGTATCATTTAAAGTGGGTTTACTTATTTTAATTTTGTATTGAGCCTCATGTTATGACCTTATAATACTTATTTTTTGTAAGAAAGACTAATCAAAGGCTACGATGGTGTAAATGTGCCTCACTGGAGCAGAAACATTTTGAAAGTGCACCTTTCAGCTTTGACCAATCTGCTCCATCGGGTGGAAATAAAGGCAGCAGCCGTCCGATAGTTTGACACTCGTGAAAAGTTGCCAGACAGGAAAGCAAACTATCTCCCAAGCTGATGACCTTTGGTAAAAGATTTTTGTTTGATTGTTTGCTTTTTTAAAGAAATGAAGAAAAAAAAGACATTCCAAGTTGTTTCTAATTGCAATCAAACCTCAACTGCTTAGTTTGATTTTGTGGACAGTAAGGCAATCAGAAGCAAAGGAGGGAAAAAAGAAAAAGCCCCTATCAAGTGTAAAATGTAATTTTTCTGGAATTATAATGTTGTTAATGTTGTACTTTATGAATATGTGTTTCTGCCATTTTCAACACCGAATACTAAAGAGCCAATTGGAGCATTCGGGGCTCTCCTAAGCAGGAGTTACTATCTTAAAGAAATCCACGACGAGTCAAAAGAAGCCTCAGTTTCCCTTCACGGGCAGCGCTGCTCTTTTACCCAATTGTTGTTTTTTACAAGTGTGTAATGTGAACGTCTCTGTGAACAAGATCTCGCTACGGCCGTCATCTTTCAGAGGATCTTATCTGAAAGATAATCTCGAGCACTGTTTACATTTTACGACTTATGTTCAATACATGTTTCACTTTCCTTGAACAAATCCACCAATCTCTCCCTTCAAAGACACTCCAGATGTTGCTGTACACGGCTCCCTTGTGTTTCATCCGTTATGAGTTCTGAATTAAGTTTTGAGACGCACCGAGTTGTTTGTTTCAACCTTCAAACATAATCTTTCTACACTTGAAAATGATGATTTTCTATTGTACATTTCTCTTCTTCCCCCTTAAACTTGTTGATATTTAGTATGCAGACGTATTTGTTCACTTTCAAGAGTATGTTTTATAATGAGAATAATGACATTTTATTGGTGAGCAAATTGAGATGGTCAAATTAAAATATTCATTAATCATTTTCTGCGTTGCGTTTTTAAGTGTGTGTGAAGCATTTCCTTATTGTTTGTGTGTGCTTCATGTCTTCTGTCATTTAAGAAGCTGCTATTCTGTTTTGCATCTCCATTTACACCTCGCCAGCTGTCTTATCCCCCACAGGTCAATGTTGACAAGGCTGTCACATCAACATTAGCCTCATTAATTTAGAGGGCAGAACACTGATCTCTGCTCGACCGCTTTGTTCATGGCGACTCTTGCTGCTGGCCCCACCAGACCCTTTAATTACGCTTCCTGTGTGATGTGTCGCATATCTCAAGAGGGGGGCCGTCTTGTTGAATTTTCTCAACGTCCGCTGCTCTTGGAACATGTCAAGCTGTCAAGCTCAGAGGTCCAGATGGCCGATCTCTCCCGACGCTCCCTTTGGGATTTTTGCATACTTCTCTCTACCTATCTCCCTCCTTCTGCTGCACTCGCTCATCTTTTGATGAGCACAGTAGCCGAGGGACCAAATCTATACTTTTCATGATGTCTCTAGACAATCTTAGATCATAAACTGATTGTGAACAAATATTCAATTTGACTTTGTAAAGGAAACTTTAGATGAATTGGTGTGGATTGGGGCAGTGTGTATACGACAGCAAAACTACATTGTTATATACACTCACATGATAAAAATGAATAATATTCATTAGTAATTCTAAAAGTAAAAAATATTCTCTTCTTTGAAATATATTGAGTGTTCCTCACCACAATCCAAAAACCCAATGATATTGAATCCACAGAGATATATAAAAGCTGGACAATGACATTCTTTATCACGCAAACGTTCCAAACTCCTCCCTAGAAAATAAATAACTGGGTTTTCGATCTTAGAATCTTTGTTTTGCGGTTTGAAGGACCATGTATAAAATTACCTTTCAGTCAGAAAATATTGAACAAAACACATTCATCAAAAAAAAGATCAGTAGCTCGAGCAGCACATGAGGAATACTTTCTTTTTTCATTTTAGTGAGCTGACCCTGTTGTGATTTTTTGCTACGGAATATTGTACTATCTCTGCACACGGCATTATCTTAGGTCTTTCTGTCTTATCCACTGCTGTTCTCCATTATCTGCCTAACTCGGCCCCCGGTGATCCATGTGCAGTGGCAGCACAGACAAAGCTGTATGCCCGCAAGCAGACACCATGCATTATTCATGTGGCTTGGGCTCCCTGTTGACCCGAGTCAAAACAGTTGGCAGTCTACAACCCTTCCACATTAAGGCCGCGGGGAGCAGAAGTTAAACTACAAAATACAGAAGTAAAATACACTATCATGCCACTGCCATGGTACAAACATCCACCTTCTCAGATTAGATACTTCTTTAAACTGTGTCCAAACATTTGAAAAATAACTCATATTCAGTCAAAGGAGCATTTATAAGAAACGTATTAGAATATATATGTTTCAATATGATATTTTAAACATGTATGTACATTGAGACAGTATTCAAGGGAACAGCTTCTGATAGAAATAGAAAATGCCTAAGCTCATGATCCTGACTCACTGACAAATCATTCTTTTCATGTCAGGCATGTTAATTGGATTTGACACTTACTGCAAAATGGGAAGTTTCATTCTCTGGCTATTTTTTTTAACAGAAATTCGTACTTTCTAGGAATGACTTTGAATTGCTCATAACCTCGTATAATCTTAGACTTAGAGGGCAGCTCACTGGGTGGCTTTCATTTCAATTATGACTTTTGAAGCAATTAGTCCGCGACTGCTGAAGAGAAACCAAAACCTTATCATCAACGAACGTCAAGCTTTTATGTAAGCACCAGCTATTTCAATAACAGTCTCCATCACTGGTTTCGCAACCCACACCAGAAGCGACTTTCAACACTTCATGTGCTCCAGCCATCTGCTTCTGATTGGCGGACCGCAGAGTTCCTGTTGAGATCCTCTCTGATGCCATCGTCAGCCAACTGCTGGTGTGGTGCTCTCTCATGACCTGTGACTCCTTTCCCGATCTTCAATCCGGATGAGCGAACACGGTCATGGAAGCCAAGGAAATGTTTGCTCTTTGCCTGTTTATCATTGATTCAAAGAATACAAACTGGGATGCGTGCCTTAATTCTCAGGCATTCATTAAAAACCCAACAACTGTTAGCTTTTTGAGTTGGCCTCCCTAATCAGTGTTTTCAATATGTATTTCCAAATAGTGCATGCATGAGATATGGGCAAAAATGTAAAACCATCAAAAGGAGCCAAATATCAATCAGCTAACTCATAAGGAATGCATTTTTTAGTGAGAGATTAAAGAAAGTATGCTTTTTCGTTACTTACCTTTTGTACCAGATATAAAATTGAACACTTTGTGGAGATTATATACCCTAATACCTTTTCATGCACTTACTACTAGAAGATAGAAACCAAAAGTTTGTCCATGATTTGCAACTGGCCACGTGTTTATGCCTAAGTTACTTTTTCCATATTAGGCTTAACAAATAATTGTTGATTGTGAATTAGTCTCTTTGTCACTATCCACACTTGATGTTGAAATAGTTTTACCAATCATTTTTAATCCGACATTCAGTTAGATTAGATCAGGTTTAGAAATATTGCCCACTGATTTCGGATGAAACATGGACCGTCTCATTTTTTGTTGTAATGCTCTCAGTTGATTGCAGTGTCCAGTGAGATTTCAGTTTTTATTGTAATGCTCTCAGTTGATTGCAGTGTCCAGTCAGATTTCAGTTTTTGTTGTAATGCTCTTAGTTAAAGTAAGTGTTCAAACAGGTCGTCAGACTTAAAAGAAAAATCTGTCTCTCATATTTTGACAACATATTTCTTTTCAATTATGGTAAAAAATATTTTTGTAAGTCAAAAAAGCTTTCCATGTCAACCTGATTTTTTCCGTTACCTTTGTGAACCAGATATTCTTATAATAAATATAAGTAAATATTCTTATTGAATTGGTCATTATTTGACTTGTATGACAAGGAAGATACTTTCATCCCATGATTATTTAGGCGTGGTAGCCAAGGATATTGTCACGGTGTGTTTTTTTTTCCTGTTTTATTTTGTAGTTTCCTGCCTCTCGTGTGACTGGGTTTACTTCACTTCGTGTCCTGTTTTCTCCGCCCTCTGTGATTGTCTGCCTTGTCCCTGATTGTTTCCTACTGTGTCCAATCACCTGCACCTCCCCAGTGGATTGAAACCCTGTGTGTCTCCTTGTCTCAGTGTTGGTACGTCGGCCTGTTTTGCTCCATATTTTTTTCAGTTTTTTCAAAATGTATTTTATAATTCAATTATCACCAAAACTATAATGGATGACTTTTTTTAAAATAGTTTCTCTTCTGATTTTGATCTGTATAATCTTACGATGTGCAGACGTATGATTAAGTAGATGTCTGTTTTTTTTGTTGCCTTTACCTGAGACATGTTTTCTTCAGATTAGAACGGGCAGTTGCACACCGCCCCTCTGGAGACTGAGGTTGTGAGCTTTTAAGCTCTGTATTTGTCCTCTGACATTTGTGCTGCTCTCCAGAGAATTTTGTCAAAGAAAAGTCATTTCAAGGTCAGCTTAATTAACCTCCAGACTAAAACCATTTAGGAGATTATTATTATTAAAATATCCATGGAAAAAATGATTAGTAATGGTAAAATGAACCAAATATAATTGACTGGACAACACCAACATGAACAAATTCACTTCCATTAAAATACTTAATTTAAGTTTTGAAGATATGATTAAAAAACGGTTTCTTTCACTGCCGAAAGCTTGCAACCTCAAAAGGATAAACTCTATGTGGAATTGGTTTGAGCTTTCTATGAGGTAACCTAAAAGGCCATCTGGCCCATTTTAAGCCTTCAAAACAAGTCAACACAGCGTCGGACAGTAGACAGTGTGAGAATGAAGTACCAAGATAAGGTCATGTTATCTCCCTGAGCAGCAAGAGCTGAGAAGTGAAGTATTTCCACAGCAGCTGTTGACAGGGACAGGAAACCAGGGATGTCAAAAGGGATTTACTTATAGACGGGACACAAATTGTATGACCGAATATAGTTAGTTTGACATGACATATAGTTAGTATAGTTTTATTTAGCTGTAGGGTCCTAGAAGCAAAAGACTGAATGAAAAATGCAAGCAAGCACCATCAGCCATCTGTGATTACCAGACCAAACAGGTCACAGCATCGACGAGGGAGGGGTCAAAGTCATCAACCAAGAGTGAGCAGAGGGCTGGAGGAAGGTCAAGGACTCCAAAAACAAAATAAATATTCCTGACAGGGGTTTTGGTCTCCATTTCACCCCATATAGGAACACTTGTTATCTTGTGACTGAAGTCCTAGGTGGCAAGATGACGCAACCTCCATTTTTGGACGATGACTGTGATGTAGTTGAATGTTCTGACAAATCGATGTAGACCTTAAATTTGAGATTACTGTGTCACTACAACTCAAAACTACAAACCAGCAAGGGGTGGGGAAATACACTGGCTGATGTGGCTTTTTGTGTGAATTAACTGTGTTAACAATTGAGCTGGTAGATGTGGCCCGGGAAAGGGAAGTTTGGGGTCCCCTGCTGGAGCTGTTGTCCCCGCGACCCGACCCCGGATAAGCGGTTGAAAATGGATGGATGGATGGACAATTGAAATGAGGCTGAATTCAATTTAAAAATTGTACTGATTAAAAAAAAAGAAGAAGAAGAAGAAAAACACAAAATAGACAAAATGCATATAATTGTATGTATTGGACTAGGAAAGGTTGTGCTCTCTTTCTCTCTCATAATCATATTCCTTCCTTCGAGCCTCAACGCAAATGACCTTAGAAGTTATTGAAGCAAATAAATGTCACTCACTCTTCAATAATTGGTTATTCAAAGCAACCAAATCCATATTAGGTTAAATAAGTTTAAATGAAAATAGGTATACAAATATCATTATGAAAAGTAGTTTTTCCCCATATGGGCATTTTTGTTTTATTACTGGTATTCAAACTTCAGACTTGGAGGTGATTTGAAATGCGAATCCCAT